AGTTTCTCGGTTCACTCTGATGAGACGAAAGTGCTTGACCTTCACCCTAGACGAGCCCGAGTTGGCCTCAAGATACCAGAGTTCATTGTTCATGTTCCCCCCCCCCCCTAGTGTATTTGTGCCACACGTTGCAAAGCTGGTGCTGTGATGGCTAAGATAGTTTCTTAGCCATTACACCACCATATATAGATGGTGGTATGATGACTAAGATAGATAATGGCTCTGTTGTTTCCCCACATTGAAGGTTCTCGTGGAATATTAGTTTAAGGCTGTTCATATAGTTGTTTCTCTTGCCACAGCTGTTAATATATATATATATATATATATATATATATATATATATATATATATATATATATATATATATATATATATATATATATATATATATATATATATATATTTATTCTAAATATAAATTATCCAGAATATAATTATAATTACATGTGTTAAGTAACGTAAAAATAAAGTTGTATTTATGAATAAAGTTTTCAGTTTGAAAACTACTACAGAAGTTATTACTTCTGAAGAGCTACGATGTTTTTGTAAGTTGTGATGACAAATTGATGAGTAAATTAAATAGTAATTAATGAATGCTACCTGCAAAAGCTTCTTTATAGCAAGTTGACCAGACCACACACTAGAAGGTGAAGGGACGACGTCGTTTCGGTCCGTCCTGGACCATTCTCAAGTCGATTGCGAGAATGTCAAGTCGAGACCATCGACTTGAGAATGGTCCAGGACGGACCGAAACGACGTCGTCCCTTCACCTTCTAGTATGTGGTCTGGTCAACATACTTTGTAGCCAGAATTTGCTCGCGTGAGGTCATGGGGGTGTGCGTGCGTGCGTGCACGCGTGCGCAATTACTTAAGTGTCATTACAGGATGAACGCTACACTTGGAGTATCCCGTCTAACCAGTACAGTCATGTGATGCTTAAAAACTACTGTTATTATTTTGTATACAGTGATCATATCTCCTCTCTTCTCTCTCCCAACTTTGGCAAGCTTAACACCTATAGTAGTAGCTCTTGTTTTTCAATTCTAGAAGCCATCTAGTTGAATGTCTTTGCACCTTTTCTAGATTGTTGATGAGCTGCTTGGGATGTGTGTGCACCACAACTGCTGCTTATTCCAATATTCGTCTCTGACGAGTCCTGAACAATATATTGAGTGTTTCCATTTCCATGTATTTAAGTGATTCTGAAGATAGAAAGTGCAGCATAGGCTTCTCTCACAATGTCATAATGATTTTCATGGTCACACCACAACTGCTGCTTATTCCAATACTCGTCTCTGACGAGTCCTAAACAATATATTGAGTGTTTCCATTTCCATGTATTCAAGTGATTCTGAAGATAGAAAGTGCAGCATAGGCTTCTCTCACAATGTCATGATGATTTTCATGGTCACTTACTCAGTGGACGAAGGTACTGAATGTCAAATAAATTTTCTTCTTTCCGGGTAAATACCAAATCCAGTATTGATTTGAACATCCCCTTTCTTCAGTGTGTTTAATCACCTAATTGTATTAATATAGTTGTATTTTCGTGGGATAAATTTCAGCTTCTGGGTCAAAGAAGTATAGCAAATATTTTGATTTAAGTGTTTTTACGGATTTCCGACTCCAAATATAAGCCATCATTCATTTGCATAGTCTGGATTAGCCTAACCAACCCCCCCCTCTCTCCCCCCCCCACCACCACCCCCACCCTACCACCACCCCACCCCACCCTACCACCACCAGGTTTTGTGTGTGTGTGTGTGTGTGTGTGTGTGTACTCACCTATTTGTGCTTGCGGGGGTTGAGCTCTGGCTCTTTGGTCCCGCCTCTCGACCGTCAATCAACAGGTGTACAGGTTCCTAAGCCTATTGGGCTCTATCATATCTACACTTGAAACTGTGTATGGAGTCAGCCTCCACCACATTACTTCTGATGATACCTAGTATCTGGCCTCCTGCCCCTACACCTATCTTCATTATATTGCATTTGCTTGGGTTAAACTCTTAACAACCATTTGTTCGACCATTCCTGCTTGTCTAGGTCTTCTTGAAGCCTCAAGCAGTCCTCCTCTGTCTTAATCCTTCTCATAATTTTGGTATCGTTAGCAAACAATGAGAGAAATGAATATATACCCTCCGGAAGATCATTTACATATATCAGAAACAAGATAGGACCGAGTACAGAGCCCTGTGGGACTCCACTGGTGACTTCACCCCAATCTGAGGTCTCACCCCTCACCGTAACTCTCTGCTTCCTATTGCTTAGGTACTCCCTTATCCACCGGAGCATCTTACCAGCTACACCTGCCTGTCTCTCCAGCTTATGTACCAGCCTCTTATGCGGTACTGTATCAAAGGCTTTCCGACAATCCAAGAAAATGCAGTCCGCCCATCCTTCTCTTTCTTGCTTAATCTTTGTCACCTGGTCGTAGAATTCTATTTAAGCCAGTCAGGCAAGATTTACCCTCCCTGAACCCATGTTGGCGATTTGTCACGAAGTCCCTCCTCCCTCTCGCCTCCTCCCTCTCGCCTCCTCCTTAGTGTGTGTGTGTGTGTTGTATAGGTGTAAATATATTGGTTAAATTCAGAAAATACTACAAATAAAGCACGCTTAGTAGGCAAAAAAGGAAGCCAGGGCGTGGTTGCACCATCGCCTCCAGCTGCGTGACGATCGTAGAGAATTAGTGGTCGCCTTGGTCAGCACGTCTCGCTTGTGTAACGATTTCCCCACCACCACCACCGGTCGCGGAACTCCTCACTACCTTATCTATTGCTAACCCCATCCACTTGAACTGGTCGGTACAGCGATGGCCTGGCTGCGTGCAGGTCCTTGTTCGATCCTCGATGGTCCAAGTGGTTGGACACCGTTTCTGACGTCCCTCCCAAGTGCCAGAGTCCTATTAGCTTAGCACTTCTTCCTCATAATTACCTTGTCTTGCTTAGAGCATATACGGAATACTTTAAATCCATTACATTAAAGGCTTTTGATGCTTCAATATTTCTTTAGGTGGTGTATTGTACACCGTAACTCACCATAACTGTGGTGTATTGTACACCACCTAAAGTGGTGTACAATACACCACAATACAGTGGTGTATTGTGGTGTATTGTATCCCGTATTGTACACCTTTAATGACCAGAGCAGAATAAATCAAGCACAAGGCACTTTTAAGACAAATTTTAATAAAATTGGCTTAAAATGTTCATACAAGTGAAATAGAGGTGGATGACTTGTGGCTAGACAAAAGCACTTCAAATTTGACGTTTGTCAAAAAAAATGAATTAATCATAAGTTTTAAAGGTGAAGAATTAGTATGCGCCCACATGCGGGGGGCGGCCAAGGAACTTTAGGAATTGTCCATTAACTGATCATTTACCCGAGAGCCTATTCTCTTGTAGCCTCGACGGGGACAGGAAGCTGGCGACTTGTTGAACGATCCCTCCCCACCTCCCTTCCCCAAAGTGTTCCAGATGATTTTTTCCCAGCTGAATTTTAAAATTTATGCATTATAAAAAATGGATATATTGAACCATTAAAAAGCATTAGAGAGAACGGAACTGGCGTCATTGGTGAGACTTTACGGTCTCTAGATTTAGTGGGATGAGTAATAAAGGAATGAATATTATTTTTAAGAGATGAGTCACATTCCTGACGTATGAGTCAGTCGAGGGTCAGATTCACGAAGCAGTTACGCAAGCACTCACGAATCTATACATCCTTTCTCAATCTTTGGCGGCTTTGTTTACAATTATTAAACAGTTAATGAGCTCCGAAGCACCAGGAGGCTGTTTATAACAATAACAGTTGATTGGCAAGTTTTCATGCTTGTAAACTTAAATAAATGTAACCAAATCCGTCAAAGATTGAGGAAAGATGTACACGTTCGTGAGTGCTTGCGTGAGTCTGGCCCCCCTGGTTGATCAGGTATCCTTTGGAGGTGCTTGTTAAGTTCTCTCTCTCAAACACTGTGAGGGGTCGACGGGCATTGTTGTATTTGTAAATTATAGAAGGTTAATCAAGGTTTTTGAATCTCTTCACAAGGAATATTTGTATTTTTCGGGATTAACTGTCACACTAGCTGAGCGCGTTCAAATGAAGTGATCTATACTATGGCGACCAATTGTGAGCGTCATGATTGATTGATTGATGAAGATTAAGCCACCCAAGAGGTGGCACGGGCATGAATAGCCCGTAAGTGGTGGCCCTTTCGAGCCATTACCAGTATCAAAAGATGATACTGGAGATCTGTGGAGGCGCAACTGCACCCTGCGTGACGGGAGATGTCTCCCGGACCAAGTGGTGACCAAATGGTGTGAGCGTCATAATGTAACTGCGAGAATGACACCACCACCACGGCTTTCCACAATCAACCACTTCAGTTATGCCGGAAAAGAATTGAAAGCCAATTTGTGGAACATGAACGCCCCGAGTGAACCCATGTTGTGAATCATTCATTTTGTTTTGCAGGAATTGCTTTGTAAATTATTGATTCAAGCAATTTTTTCGACTATAATGTTAAGTTAATTAGCCAATAGTTCGACACAAGTGGATAAAATGGTCCACTTAAAAAAAATATATATTAAAATATATTAAGAAAATATATTAAGTGTTCAGTCTTAGTAAATTTAAAGGTTGGTTATAGCATTTTTAGATTAGTCGTGGATGTCAAACACCCCCTCCCCACACCCCACCTCTCGCCTAATGCCTTATTTTTTTAACGGGTTCAATCCGTAAAAAAAGCGACGCATTTGTACAAATTCAAGCACCTTTTTATTGACGTTTGGTATACATGAGCCCCGATAGCCTAAGGTGGGTTGCTTGGGGGAGTTCACATGTTTACAAATTATGAAAACTGGTGTTTTTCTCCTCAAAATCAATCGTTATATGTAGACCAAACCACACGCTAGAAAGTGAAGGGACGACGACGTTTCGTCGTAAATTAGTAAAAGAAATTGTAAGGCGTTTCGTATATGTAAATATTTGTTGTTGTTTTGCAGGCGGAGCACATTGTTGCCCCGGGCGTCGGGGACTGGCGGCGTCGGCCGCGACGAGGGCGGCCGGAGACCAGACGCCGCCCCCAGCGACACCACGCTGGTAATGTCTCGCTTGCCCTCGCCTATTGCACATCCCACCTCCTTCATCTACAACCACAACCCTCACAACAACAACAACAACGCCAACGCCCTCAACAATGACAGCTTCACGTACGTCAGACCACAAATGTTATCGTACTTATTGTTTTTTAATCAATTAAGCCACCCAAAAGGTGGCACGGGCATGAATAACTCGTAAGTGGTGGCCCTTTTGAGCCATTACCAGTATCAAGAGCTGATACTGGAGATCTGTGGAGGTGCGACTGCACCCTGCGTGACGGGAGATGCCTCCCATGGACTAAGTCTTGAGGAGACAGTCGTAATATAACGTAAGGATGTGAGGCGGAAGTTGAGAACCTAAGAAAGAAGCCAGAGGGCTGAAACGTCGTCTTCAGGTGTATAGATTGGAAGTGTACTTTTCCCAACTGTAGCCAACTGTAGCCTGACTCATACGTCAGGCTGCGAGCAGCCGCGTCTAACAGCCTGGTTGATCAGTCCAGCAACCAGGAGGCCTGGTCGACGACCGGGCCGCGGGGACACTAAGCCCCGGAAGCACCTCAAGGTAGGTAGCCTTCCCCATCCTCACACTCACTTCAGAGTGAGTAACTGCAGTATGTCAGATTTCCTGTATGCAAATATTTTAGCAGTTTCAGATATTTGAAGACTAGTTGATAGACCTTATATAAAGACTTTTTAGAACGTGGGACCAAAATTAGCAGTCTTAAGGCTTCCATAAATAACCTTGTTTGGCGCCAGCATTCTGTTGCTGTTTTTTACTCTTGTTTGTAAATTATTTTCAGCAGTTTTGATATTGCAGGACCAACAATGAGAAGATGAGCTGTCGAGACCCGCTGGTGGATCAGTCAGGACTTAACTACACCGTTGGCAGTATAGAGGATGAAGGAGGCATCACCAAACCGTAAGTTGTGGTGATTAACGTGGCCCTCGTTCGAGCCTTGATAGCCTACCTTTCTCGCGTATATGATTGAAATTGAAATTAGTTTATTGAGGTAAAATACACACAAAGGAATGTGTGTGTGTGTATTTCAAGCTATTCTCACCCCGTAACGTGAGCTCAAGCTATTCAATATAGCTTGAGCTCACGTTACGCTCAAGCTATTCTCACCCCGTTCAGTACAACGTGTTCATACATATATAGACACACATCACAAACAATAAACATTGCCGAACGTTCTGAGAGTATATGAACGAGTCTGGGTGGCTACGCGTAGACGTAGCTTACTAGCCCCTTCTGTAGTACCCTTTCTTAATATTTGCATATGTGGCCGAGTACAGCGACGAGGGTTCGATCCCATTTTACAATTTTGTTTGATCGTAGATGTATCACGTCTTTGTGAATTTAGTGTGCCCATGTTTTTTTTTCATTGTGATGGGAAGAAAACAGTTAACGGAGAGGGTGGTAGTGTGGATGGAGTTAAGGTGTGGGTGGTAGTGTGGATGAGTTCATGGAGTTAGGATGAGGATGGTAGTGTGGATGCGTGCATGGAGTTAGGGTGTGGATGAGTGTATGGAGTTAGGGTTAGGGTGGTAGTGTGGATGCGTGCATGGAGTTAGGGTATGTGCGTGCACACTTGCGACTGTGGATGCGAGCTGCTCCAAATTCCCAAGATGCCAGGCATGCCGTTCTTGAAGGTATATCTTATCGGTTCTGTTCCCTCTTCACAATCTCACTATCAATCCCCGAAAGCCTCCCTTATCGCCTCTGGTTGATAATGGCCGTCCTGCATCGGCTTGTAGAGCAGTGTGTGTGTGGTGACGGCACGTATACGAGGCGGTCACACAACCTCTTGAACAAATCCACAAGGGCCGTGGCGAGGATTCGAACCTTCGTCCGGGAGGTTTCACAACCTCCCTCGTTGGGATATTATCACCCTCCTCCTTGTGACACCTCACGACGGAACGTTTATAGTGTATTCCGCCACCGGTGTTTCATTGGTATTATTTGATGACGTTGTGATTACGTTGTTAGCAGTTTTGTTATAGTGGAGTGGACATGAGGGGCCAGTAAGATTGCTTGAGTTAACGTGATTGTTTTGGTGTTTGGGGACAGGGACCCCGGGGAGCTGCAGCAGGCGGTCCTGGAGCTGACGCACACCAACCGGCGCCTCACGGGGGAGAAGGCCGACCTCACCGCCATCCTCACCAACACCGAAGATGCCTACGTCAGCAGCCAGGAACATGCCGTCTCCCTCGAACAAGATCTCGCCATGTATGAACCTCCTCCCCTCTCCCCTCGGTCCAATCCCCCCTCAGTCCAACCCCCCCTCAGTCCAACCCCCCCTCGGTCCAACCCCCTCGGTCCATCACCCTCGGGAAGGTCATGAACTTCCTGTCCCCCCCCCCTCCCTCGGTCCATCACCCTCAGAAGGTGATGGACCGAGGGTAAATTAATTCGTATTGTCGGGGGATAGTAATACTGCGTATATACACAAGGCCTCGATATGTATATATATACATATCGAGCTCTCTTCCCCCCCCCCAAAGATTGTGCCACTGCCCCTTCCGAGGATGTAACCCCATAACAGTTGCCTAACTCCCGGGTACCTGTTTACTGCTAGGTGAACGGAGGCATTGGGTGAAAGGGAACGTTGCTCAACCACCCGGGACTCGAACCTGGTTTCCTCGACTGGGAGTCAAGAACGAAGCCAACTGCACTAAGAGACCCTAAACGGGATGAATGGATTGGGCAGCTCGTAGTTTTTCTATGAGAGTTTGAGGTGTTGACCAGACCACACACTAGAAATTGAAGGGGCGACGACGTTTCGGTCCGTCCTGGACCATTCTCAATCGACTTGAGAATGGTCCAGGACGGACCGAAACGTCGTCGTCCCTTCAATTTCTAGTGTGTGGTCTGGTCAACATACTTCAGCCACGTTATTGTGACTCATCGCCTGCCTTTGAGGTGTTGTTTACTATTGACACGTGACTTAATATGTAAATTGATATCATATCTATTTACACAGTTGGTGTGTGTAAATAGTGTATCAATATATTTTACAAAAATATATTTATACAATAATTATTTACAGTTTTTACATAGGTTTATATTTTCATTAGAGCAGTGTTCTTGCACGGACTGTGCCTCTCAATTAAGCCAAATAATAGCAATAGTTCTCGCATGTCTCATCCACCTTGAAGTTTAGCTTCAATTATATAACTTCAATTATATAACTTCATGTATTTACATAAACATTTAATTCACATTTATGTACAGATAATATTTCACTTTAAACCTTATCGAAGTTCAATTTGGTTTTCTGAATAATATCAAAATTACTTCGTAATGAAACTCTGAATCTTTTAATTTGTTGATAGTTGTCTTCTTGAGGTTATCTTGAGATGATTTCGGGGCTTTAGTGTCCCCGCGGCCCGGTCCTCGACCAGGCCTCCACCCCCAGGAAGCAGCCCGTGACAGCTGACTAACACCCAGGTACCTATTTACTGCTAGGTAACAGGGGCATTCAGGGTGAAAGAAACTTTGCCCATTTGTTTCTGCCTCGTGCGGGAATCGAACCCGCGCCACAGAATTACGAGTCCTGCGCGCTATCCACCAGGCTACGAGGTCTTGTAACATTTTTCGGTTCAGTATAGTATAGGGATATTAAATGTTGACCAGACCACACACTAGTAAGTGAAGAGACGACGACGTTTCGGTCCGTCCTGGACCATTATAAAGTAGATTGTGTGAGAGGTCACACAATCGACTTGTTTCGGTCCAGGACGGACCGAACGACGTCGTCTCTTCACTTTCTAGTGTGTGGTTTGGTCAACATTTTTCAGCCACGTTATTGTGACTGCTCATCTGAATATTAAATGGTTTTTGTGTTGATAGCGCGAATCAGCAGCTGGTGGCAGCACGCAGACTGGAGGTGGAGATGGGAGAGGTGCGGATACAACTGGAGTCTGAGCGAGAGGAGAGAGAGAAGCTACAGCGAACTCTCGCCCAATTAGAGAAGGATAACGTAGCTCTCAGTTCCAGGGTGGAGGCACTTGTCACAGAGGTTTGTTCATTTAATCACCAGGCTTAAGTTATTATATAAATAACTCAACCCACGTATGAATCGGGTGTCGTTTGTTTCATTTCATGTATGTGGTTTGGATTATTTGTTTGTCGCGTTTGTGACACTTTCTGCCATATTAATGTAGTAAATTGCCTGTTGTATAAATTTTTCTTTGTCTGAACTATTAATTAGTTAAACAATGTAGACCAAACCACACACTAGAAAGTGAAGGGACGACGACGTTTCGGTTCATCCTGAACCATTCTAAAATCGATTGTGAATGATAAATGACCAATGGTCCAGGACGGACCGAAACGACGTTGTCCCTTCACTTTCTAGTGTGTGATTTGGTCAACATTTTTCAGCCACGTTATCGTGACTTCTCGCCTGTAAACCGTGTACTTTTTTGCATTAGTTAAACTTAACTAATGCAGCCTGTTCTCACTATACAAGTGTCAAATGTGCAGGCAACGTCCGGACTGTTTGTTCGCGCTCACATGCAAACCCACATAATCTCATGACGCTGATGCCTATTAATCCTGTTAACTCTTCATTTCCAGTGCTTTTCATGCCAGTTAATAACAGTTTGTACTCGTATATCTCTAGCGTACAAATGTTGGTGCGGTTAGTGTGAGTGGGTTGCATAATGTTACACACCGTCATCGTAATAAGTTAGAAGTGTGTGTGTATCACCTGCTTACATTCATGAATCTTTTGAACAGCTGAACAGTACCCGGGAGGAAGCGGAGAACCAGGCGATGGTGGAGGCCGAGCTAGTGAGGAACCACAGGGCCGAGGTGGCCGCCCTGGTCACAGAGCTTGACAAGTGGAAGTATGAGGCTGAAAGACAAGCTCTGGCGTCACATCATCTCGAAGAAACTGTCAAGGATATCAGGAAACACACCGAGGTATTCCACAATGAAATCACAAGAACGTGATGAAGCTATGAATATTTGTGGTCATGTGATGGGATTGAACCCGCGTCCATAGACTCTAGCACACCCACTACCGACAGGAGGGCGTGTTCCAGAGGCCTTCAGGGACGCGAGTTTGAGTCCATCATTCGATCTCAATATTTGTTCATTATCAAGGTATTACTTCTCTTAACGACTTGGGTTTAAGGCAGTCAAATGTGGAAATGTGTGATGCTTGTAATACTGTATTTGACGTAGAGGAAAATGATAATAGTTTTGACAGTATTTTGACCAGACCTCACACTAGAAAGTGAAGGGGCGACGACGTTTCGGTCCGTCTTGGACCATTCTTAAGTCGATTGTGAATTGACAGTTTTGACAATACTTTACAAACTTCTGATGGTACATTGTAGAATGTGATCAATAAGCAGTGCATTATGGGTGAATTGGGGTTCCTGCTGAAATGAACATAGCAGTTATTGTTCTATCTCGGGGGATTGAACCTTCCCCCGATAAAAAATACATAGTTAACTCTAGTCCTTGGTTCCCTTTCTTAAAAAAAAAAAGGGTGAAGTTCATTCGAGAAATTTAAATCACCAATGACACTTCAGTTGTCTCCAGCATCATTTCATCTCCCGTGTCTTTGCATACTAACTTTTTTACCACATTATAAAGAAATAATCAGTTTACATTTGTGTGATAATTATACTATTCGTACAGTTCAAGCTATGGTAAGTTTTATGTAAGCTTACAGAACTAATACACTTACCAATAAAGTGTGTGTGAACAGTCAAGTATAATTCATGGACATGTTTCTTGAAAGATGACTTAAGATGTGGTTTTTTAGTATTAATAAATTTAATGCATGCTCTATAGTAATGAGGCCTTTACCCGCTCAAGTCGAGTGAGAACATCACTCAAGAGATGTTTTATTTTCTCAGGCTCTGCGAGATGAGAAAGCCAGCCTGGAGGAACAGCTGACCCATCTCAAGGAGGAGATCGCTTCGGCCAGAAATCACTCGGACTCTAACGTAGGCAATACTACAGCATCCATGTTCAGGCATTTCCTGTTTAATTTTAAATGTCTCATTTTAAACGTATATAAATTTAGAGGGAAAACGACTTGGAACATAATAGGAAATAAAAATTGGGGTATATTAAGGATTATAGGGTATTAAAATTGGGGTATATTAAGGATTATAGGGTATTAAAATTGGGGTATATTAAGGATTATAGGGTATTAAAATTGGGGTATATTAAGGATTATAGGGTATTAAAATTGGGGTATATTAAGGATTATAGGGTATTAAAATTGGGGTATATTAAGGATTATAGGGTATTAAAATTGGGGTATATTAAGGATTATAGGGTATTAAAATTGGGGTATATTAAGGATTATAGGGTATTAAAATTGGGGTATATTAAAGATTATAGGAAATCAAAATTGGGGTATATTAAGGATTATAGGAAATCAAAATTGGGGTATATTAAGGATTATAGGAAATCAAAATTGGGGTATATTAAGGATTATAGGAAATAAAAATTGGGGTATATTAAGAATAAAGAGGTGAAATGTTAGATATATGTTGTTACAAGTTTATAAAAATAAAGCTGGAAGAGGTCTATTACGGTTTACTGAACATGTGAGAGGATATGTTCAAGGAAAGTTATGGATGAGAAACACTGTTTTCTAAATGTCCCGTGATGAGACACGAGACAGTCGGGTAACGTAATAGATGTGGGTTCGCTGGGGGGGTTTAAATCGTAGCCCTGGTCGGAGACCGGGCCGTGGGGGCCATGGATTCCCGAAAGTTACACAAGGTAGGTTTCCATTTAGACGGAAAAGTTTGAGAGGTGGGGGGTGGAGGGGAGGGGGTGTAAATTGGTCTCTAGGGGGGACCAGTGTGTGTCTTAAGCAGTGGAGTTTCTTTGGTTCTTGTATAATTGTAAACTTGTAAGGCAAATAGTTAGGGATGAAAATATGTATAGAAAAGGGGTGTGGGGGAGGGAGGGGGACATGTGAAGGAGGACTTTAAGAAACGAGGAGTATTTTAGAGAACAATTATAATAAGTAGGGAAGGAGGAAGGAAAATATTTTTAAGAAAGTGAGGAATATTTTTAACAAATGTATATAGTTACCAATATGTGAATATTTGAAGCAACGGTTATCTTGAGATGATTTCGGGGCTTTAGTGTCCCCGCGGCCCGGTCCTTGACCAGGCCTCCACCCCCAGGAAGCAGCCCGGTCACAAAAGGTGAAGAAAAGGCAATACTAAATTTAGAAATGTACAGAGGTGGTGGAAGACTTTAACTGGAGGATAGAGAGTGGGGAGATTAGAGAAGCTGAATAGGTCACATAGGCAAAATCTGGTACAGTATCTTCTTGAGGTTATCTGGAGATGATTTCGGGGCTTTTTAGTGTCCCCGCGGCCCGGTCCTCGACCAGGCCTCCACCCCCCAGGAAGCAGCCCGTGACAGCTGACTAACACCCAGGTACCTATTTTACTGCTAGGTAACAGGGGCATAGGGTGAAAGAAACTCTGCCCAATGTTTCTCGCCGGCGCCTGGGATCGAACCACAGGATCACAAGTCCAGCGTGCTGTCCGCTCGGCCGACCGGCTCCCTGGAAAAAGGAGTCAGTATATGCAATTCCGGATATGGTTTCCCATTGTCGGGGACAGGAAGGACGTTTGTCCCACCTTTTTCCAGGATGCAACACCAGTCAGTCACAACAGTTGACTATTTACTGCTAGTAAACACAGACTATCAGGTGAATGGTTTACCGTACCCAAACGTTTCGTGTCTTGTCGCGGGAATGGCACCAGAGAGAAAGGGAGCCGGTCGGCCGAGCGGACAGCACGCTGGACTTGTGGTCCTGTGGTTCGATGCCAGGCGCCGGCGAGAAACATTGGGCAGAGTTTCTTTCACCCTATGCCCCTGTTACCTAGCAGTAAAATAGGTACCCGGGTGTTAGTCAGCTGTCACGGGCTGCATCCTGGGGGTGGAGGCCTGGTCGGGGACCGGGCCGCGGGGACACTAAAGCCCTGAAATCATCTCAAGAAGAGACCTTTGGGATGTGACACAGTGGTGTGATCATAGGAGACCGGAGAACCTAGTAATGAGAGAGAAACATACCAAAGGGACGAGAGATGGTCACATGGGGAATTGAAACCAAATACATGTAAATAATATTAAGAGGGGCTCGATCCCCGGCGATGGCAGAAAAACAAATGGGCTCCCGGACGCAGGTTCGAATCCTCGTCACGGCCCTTGTGGATTTGTTCAAATAGGCAGTTTTTTTCACCCTAACTATGAGAACGCGAGGAGGAAGGCTTGTGACACTAGTCTCACGGACCAGCCTCGGCTGCATCAGCCTGTCATTTCAAATACTTCCCATTTCAAATACCCCCAACGGCATAATATGGTGTACTATAAATCATTGCGGCTTGCTTAGTTGATGGGCTGCCACGTTTTCTATGTGCGTGTCCTCGTTTAAGTTGGGTTGGGGCAATTTGGTACCTCATTTTTGTGACGTTGTGACAAGCTGAGAGGATGGGCTGGATACGGGTCTTCCGGGGATGTAGATTCTTGCTTGATGATTTAATATACGTTGCCTGATTGGGTACTAGCGTTGAACGTAAGTGTAGTGTCATGTGATAGGTTGTCATGTGCATTAAAGCTTACATTCTCACTCTTGCATGGTGGTTACACGCGAACACGCACAAAATATCCCTAGGGCATGCACGCACACGCACGCACATTGCTCTCATTCACACGCTGACATGCACAAAATATCCCTAGGGCATGCACGCACACGCACGCACACGCACGCACATTGCTCTCATTCACACGCTGACACGCACAAAATATCCCTAGGGCATGCACGCACACGCACGCACATTGCTCTCATTCACACGCTGACACGCACACACTTCTGCTCACTTCCACTTACTGGTTCCTGCTAAGATCAAAGTTTATTATCTTATTAAATACGTGTACATTATTGATGTATATGCACTAAAACTTTAACTAAGGTAATCTCACGTAACAGAACAGCCGGCGAGAAACAATGGGCAGAGTTTCTTTCACCCTATGCCCTTGTTACCTAGCAGTAAAATAGGTACCTGGGTGTTAGTCAGCTGTCACGGGCTGCTTCCTGGGGGTGGAGGCCTGGTCGAGGACCGGGCCGCGGGGACACTAAAGCCCCGAAATCATCTCAAGATAACCTCAAGGAGTCTCGGTTCACAAAGTCCATATTTATTGTAAGACTTGTTTGTCCTTGGCTTTTGGTCGGTGGTCGCACTGTGATGCTCACTTGCGTCATACTTGTTATGCATATTGTATGAATATTCTGTGTATGTATATTAGGAGGTACATGGTTTCAATTTGTGTTGGTTACTGTGTGGCGGGATTATCCACCTGGGAGGTTACTGGAGACGCGTGAACGTGTGACGGGGAGGGTTTTATCTTGTGTGTTGGGCGATTGTTCAATACATCCCTGCTGCTCACCCCGCCACTCCTCCCCCTCCCCGGCCACATTCCCCTCCCTGGCCACCTCTCTCCCAGGCCACATTCCCCTCCCTGGCCACATTCCCCTCCCTGGCCACCTCTCTCCCAGGCCACATTCCCCTCCCTGGCCACATTCCCCTCCCTGGCCACATTCCTCTCCCAGGCCACATTCCTCTCCCAGGCCACATTCCTCTCCCAGGCCACATTCCCCTCCCTGGCCACCTCTCTCCCTGGCCACATTCTCCTCCCTGGCCACATTCTCCTCCCTGGCCACCACCTCCACCTCACCTCCACCGGTGGTAGACTAACCCCTCGAGACTCGCTGTGCTCGTTCAACATAATTACTGTACCTCCAAGTGCATTGTTTCCCTCTCAAGCTGTTTTACTGGCTAATATCTTACCAGAACTTTCTCAGTGGTCTGTACGAGAGAGCTTTAATCATTCTCTCGTCCACTAAGTTACGGACCAAGAATCTTAACTAATAGGTTCGTTCTTTTTTCGGTTATGGTGACCAACGTTACAGATGCCGCCTGCTGTGAAAAGTAATGGCTCGCAAATCTCTTGATAGGTTAGGTGGGTTGGTTGGGTTTGTACGTTTCTAGTTAGCTTGGGAGGTTGGATATTTTACCGAGTGGCAAATAAAGGGGGAAGAACAGGTCAGCAGTGAAAGTGAAATCTAGCCCAGATACTTTCACACGAGTTAAAAACCTGTGAAAATGTCTACACGAAACCTCGAGAGGGCCTGTTGACGCATTGCAAGGCAACGTCTATTTATATCCCCCCAAACTCGTTCATGTACATGTGTACATTAACATGTACTGTTCCTTTTAACCCAAACAAATGTAATGTAATGAAGATAGGTGTAGGGAGCAGGAGACCAGATACAAGGTATCATTACGGAGATGAAATACTTCAAGAGTAAGAGAAAGAAAGACCTGGGGGTTGACATCACGCCAGACCTGGTGTGATGTCAACATTGCCTAGGCTTCAAACAATGCAGCAATCCTCCTCGTTATGTTACAAGGCACCGTCTTCCACACAGCAACAACCCTGCTACTAGACACTGTTGACATACTGTTGTCACAGCCAACACTGCATCACTCCAGCCTTAGTGGCACAATACGTGTTTAGGTGATTGTGGTGTGGAATGGCACGTTATACAAAGGTGGTTTTGGTTTATTTGTAGTTTGTGAAGACAAAATGCCCCTCAATATACGGGGAAAGGTTAAATGGTAAACAAAGGAATTAATGAAATATATAAATGATTAAAGTGACTATGTAAAGAATATAAAGTTTTTTGTAGTATAATTAAATGTTTACAGTATTTGAAATTAGTTATGAACGTTTTTATATATATAAAATCAGTTTAATTTTATAAATACAATTAAATACCTTTTTAGAAGCATCTTTCGATGTTATACATTATTTTGTTGGCATTAATGTTTGTTGTACAATGTTGTTCTACAGACGAGTTGTGTTGATATGGGAGGGGAAGAGGACTTAAGTGTGTCTACCAGCGAGGAAGTGTTTGAAAGGCCACTTAAGACGGCGTGGAGACGAGCCCCCTCCTCCTCCACCCCCTTGGTAAACCAGGGCGCCCCCTCGTCGGTCCCGGACACACCCCTCAGTATACATTATGAAATACAAACCATGGTAAGGGTTACTTAGGTTCCTTGGGCCAAATTCACGAAGCCGTTATGCAAGTACTTACGAACGTGTACATCTTTCCTCAATCTTTGACGGCTTTGGTTACATTTATTAAACAGTTTACAAGCATGAAAACTGCCCAATCAACTGTTATTGTTATAAACAGCCTCCTGGTGCTTCGGAGCTTATTAACTGTTTAATAATTGTAAACAAAGCCGTCAAAGATTGAGAAAAGGTGTACAGGTTCGTAAGTGCTTGCGTAACTGCTTCGTGAATTTGGCCCGTGCTCTTTCTGTAGCTGTAACCTGTAGTTCTCGAGGCATTTCCCTGTTGGTTTGTTGTTGCATGACCTATGATGATTTTTTATAATTAATGAGCTTTGATGCGTTGTTTTAATTATTTAATGAAGTCTTGCTTCTTAGATGCCCTGTCATCAGTGTTGGCAACACTTTTTGCCCGAAAAATTTTGTTTCTTGCCCGAAACGCATTGCGTAATAGTGGCTTTAGGCATTGTATGTACTAGCTCTATCTATATATCAATCCATTAATGTAACATCACTTGTATGTATATACCTTACCTGAATAAACATCTGAATCTGAATCTGAATCTGACTTCGGTGAAGGTTTCCAACCAGCTCATTGAATAACATGCAGTATTTCATTTCAACCATTGTTTAATGGTTTATTTAGATTGCTCTTTCTAGATAATGTTCACTTGTGAAGCTTTGCGGAATATTTGCAAATTATTTAACAAAATGTAAAATTAATCAATATAGTCGGGTGAACAAATCCACAAGGGCCGTGACGAGGATTCGAACTTGCGTCCGGGAGCATCCCAGACACTGCCTTAATCCTTGAGGATTTGTTCATTTGATGCATCACGTTAGTGTGATCTCTGTGAATATAGTCGGGTTTAAACATTGCTTTTGTCATAAATATATTACATTTGCCTGGATGGTTTATATATATTTTTAGCAGAAAACTAATTTTGAGAACGTGTGGATGATGGTGGAACGACGACCCCTTCCACCCAAACCCATCACCCATTCACCCATACACATTCTTATCCGTTAACCTTCTCGTCTCCTCAACCCTCAATCACCCTATTATATTATTTCTTATCAGCCTACTCTCTCCCTTTCCTCCAGCAACTTAGGCATAGTTTCCTACCAATATTCCTTTCAAATTTGTTTTCACAGGTTTCTCTTACTTTAACAATCTCTAAATCCAGCCGTTTTAAGTGTTGTCATCTTGTCGCACTTCTCCTCTCGCAAAGTGTGTGTGTGTGTGTGTGTGTGTGTGTGTGTGTGTGTGTGTACTCAACTAGGCGTGCTTGCGGGGGTTGAGCTCTGGCTCTTTTGTCCCGCCTCTCAACTGTCAATCAACTGATGTGTGTGTGTGTGTGTAATTACCTAAGTGTATTTACACACACACACACACACACACACACACACACACACACACACACACACACACACACACACACACACACACACACACACACACACACGCGCGCGCGCCAGTTGATTGATAGCTGAGAGGCGCGACAAGAGCCAGAGTTCAACCAACACACTTAACACAGGTGTGTGTGTGTGTGTGTGTGTGTGTGTGTGTGTACACAAGTATGTGCTTGCCTTCCACCACCTCGGCCTCCAGGTTTTGACCTAAGTCCCCTGCGGGCTCACCATAGCCCGTGCTACTTGGAAACTTTTTGTTCCAAGTAGCGAATCTTAAACAACAAAAAGAGATTTTGACCCTAGTTACATTTAGCAGTCTTCTGATTACCTATGACAATTGACACTGACGTGTTTTTCGTTGCTTGTGCAGGGCGAGAGAAGCGGATCATTGCCATTCTGCGAGAAGAGTGGCAATAGTGCCACTTCTGCCTCCAAGAGTCCTACTGAGGAGACCTCCCCCCTTGCTGATCAGCACGTCAGAAATTCTTCATTGGCCACACTCCTTATCAGCATGGCAAGTAATACTCATAATAATATTAATTATTGTTGTACAATAAATAAGTCTGAACAAGTTTTAAGTGGTTATTTAATAGGTAAAGTCGTTGTTTATTATGTAAAGCAACTTTCCTCGCTATTCTGTAACTGTCTGCATATACAATTTAGATTACAAGTTAATATAACTCATATTTTGCTGAGTGAAGGCAATTAAATATTTAGGACTTAATAATATACTAAGTGTGAGTTCATTATTGGCGCGGAACATTAAATATTCAGGTGGTAAAAATTCCCGTGAAATGTGCATTAGCTAATTAGATATTTCCTCCGCTGGTACTTTATATTTTGTCGTATATTTTGTCTGAGACGGGAAGGCTATACCGAGACCCCCCCCCCTTAGGTGTATCGAGACCCCCCCCCTTAGGTGTATCGAGACCCCCCCCCCTTAGGTGTATCGAGACCCCCCCCCTTAGGTGTATCGAGACCCCCCCCCCTTAGGTGTATCGAGACTCCCCCCAGGTGTATCGAGACCCCTCAGGTGTATCGAGACCCCCCCAGGTGTATCGAGACCCCCCCTCAGGTGTATCGAGACCCCCCCTCAGGTGTATCGAGACCCCCCCCCCCCCCTAGGTGTATCGGCACCCCCACCCCCTAGGTGTATCGGCACCCCCACCCCCTAGGTGTATCGGCACCCCCACCCCCTAGGTGTATCGAGACCCCCACCCCCCTAGGTGTATCGGCACCCCCACCCCTAGGTGTATCGAGACCCCCACCCCCCTAGGTGTATCGGCACCCCCACCCCCCTAGGTGTATCGGCACCCCCACCCCTAGGTGTATCGAGACCCCCACCCCCCTAGGTGTATCGACACCCCCCCCCTAGGTGTATCGAGACCCCCCCCTTCCCTCTCCCCCCCCCCTCCCCAGACCCCCAGGCCAAGTTCTTAGCCTCCCCACGATGCGACCCACAACAGTTGCGTAGCTCTCGGGTACCTATTTACTGTTAGGTGAATAGATGCATCAGGTGAAAGACGACGTGTTGAACCGTCCCCCCCTCCTGCCTTTGGAATTGAACCCCGGATCCCTGGAGTGTAAGTCGAGGAAGTAGACAACTATGCTACAGGACCCCTCATTATTGGTGTTGACCAGACCACACACTAGAAGGTCCAGGAGGGACGACGTCCCAGGAAGGGACGTCGTCGTCCCTTCACCTTCTAGTGTGTGGTCTGGTCAACTTACTTTAGCCACGTTCTGACTCATCGCCTCCACTCATTATTGGTGTTCCAAACTGAAATTTCTTTTAAGTATCTAATTACTTGTGAAATTATTATTTATCTACAATAGACATACCCGTCTGTAGGTTTTTCCTATTGATGTACCACACTGAAAACCTTTTGCATCATAATTGAAGGAAATCATCTTATTTCTAGCCCATGTTTAAATGTTGATATCTTGGATCTTATATACAAAATTAAATAATTTTGGTTTGTTTACACAGGTGAGGTGGTGGCGGGACTGGGAGGAACGAGGAGTGCCACTGCTGAAGGGGATGGTTGGGGAGGATGCCTCTGCCCTTAATGCTCACTTCAGCTCTCACCACGGTAAGCTCCCACCTCTTACTTTACCCTTCACCACTCTCTATATTCATATGAGGGTGATATTAGATAGCTAGGAACATTAATAACAACTCGGGGTATACTTTTAAGTGGAAGTGAAGACGTTTCAATCCATCCTGGACCCCTTTATCTAGTCAACACTGGGTTATTGATGTGTCTGGTATTTATACTGGTCAGCCACTAATAGCGCTTTCACCATGAAACTTTGTTTCTCACACTTCATTTTCTTCTCTCCGCCGTTATTATTTTCGTTCTAATTTGAGTTTGTCTTCCCTCGTCTTCAAGGATTGTAAAATGTCTTCGCATACAATTTATAACTATCTTTTCTCTGAAAGAAGATGTACATTTGGTAGTGTTTTTACATTAAGTAAATAGGTCTTCTTTCCAGCAGTAACCTAACCAATTCTCTCTTGGGAGAGGTTAAATAAGGTTGTTTTTCAGGCTCTTTAGAATACCGATAGTACAAAATGTTTTGTCCACCGTCCATATTTTGTACACATTTCCCAAGCTACATGTTCCCAATATGTAGCCTACTGTAAGTTTGAAAGATGGCTTAACTGGGTTCTTAACCTATATACAATTTCGGACCCCGAATGGATTGCCCAATATGTTCCCATATTCCCCCTTCAACCAAGCTCTTGAATTCACCACCACCACCACGTCTTATTTGCCACCTGCATGGTTCAAAAGATGCCAATATCTTTTCTTTACTTTTGAATAACTAGTAACAGAACAGCTGAAAGAAAATCAGGAGGATTTTTATCAATTTTGTTTATAGAAACAGACAAATAAATCCACCAGCTAGCTACAACTGGGGAGATTGTTCAGAGATGGTTCTATATCCCTATTTGCTTCCCATACCCTGATTACGAACCCCCTGGCTTAAGGGCTTATTGTTAATAGTCGAAGATAATATTCTTTACTAGTCTTTAAAATCAATAAAGCAGAGAAAAGACTTTAAAATACTCAATCCTGAATGGGGTGAGAATAGCTTGAGGTACCTCATCCCTTTGTGTGTGTTCATACCTCAATAAACTTGATTTCAATATCAAGCAACTCGTCTCACCTTAACACCCCTCACATTCTTACCTCGTATTGACTTTCTCTAACACTTTCTTTACTTGATAATGCTCCAGGGTGGACCGAAACAGTCACTATTTTCAGATCACAACATTACACAAGAATGTTGTTCACTGAACAAGAATTTGTTCACTATTTTCAGATGTGTGGGTTTTGTATCTAGTTTTCAGCCACGTTATTTTTACTTATTGTCTGCATATTGTATTTAAAAGTATCTTGTTGCAGATGAGCTGATCAGATTAGAAAGAGAACTAAAGGAAATCCGAAGACAAAGTGTAACGCACAGCCTCTCCTCCAGCGGAACACCAGCAAGAGAGACGGTAGAGGAAGGTTCGTTAGGCATGTCTCGTGAGACGTGCTTACCACCCTCGCAAAATGTGACTCCCAAATCCAAGCGCTCCAGGACTCCTGGATCTCTCATCTCGCAGCTGATAACAAAATTTGAGCATTCTAGTCGGTCCACAAGCCCAGCGAGCTCTGAGCTCAGTGAGAGGTTAGGCTTGATGTACAATACCGGTACTTTATCCAAAATGGTGGAAAGACAGAGAGCTGGAAGAGGTTCTTTAAGTTCTTATAATGAATACGATTGTGGCAGAAGCTCTCCTAGTTATGATGGGGGAAGTTCTGTTAGTTCCGATGCCGGCAAAATGTCATCTTTGTCTCCCAGGAACAGTTCTTTGACTTCAGAAACTATGAAAGAAGGCAAAGATAATTCCCTGGAGATAGACTCGTGTATAAACCATAAACCCAGCCAAGTGGAAGCACGTGAAGATACTAGTGATAAGAATTATTTTAGTAAGAACCTCTCGGGTGCCCAAAACCTTGCGTGTGAACTAAGCCCTAATTCTTGGGAATATGGAGGAAACCTCATTAATAGCAGCACTGAACAAGATTCTGAATATACGTACGTGGATGACAGAGACTTGACTGACTTAAGGAACATTGTAATTGATAACCTGGAGCAAGAAAATGTTGTGGAGGAGGTGGATGAAGTTGGTGTTAAGCTAGACCTTGGCTTTGATGAGGACTTGACTGATGATTATCAGAGTGAGAGAAGTAGTAACCTGAATTCTAATTCTTCAAAACTTGCCGATGATACTGAAAATAATGGAGTTACGGTCGTGGAAGTTGATGTTGATTTAGAAGGCGATGTTCTCATGGAGACCAGCCAGTTGATGAAGTTAATGAATGAAGTGGATGAGCAGAAGACCATTATTGGAGAGTTGAAAGAACAGGTAAGTTTTCTTTCATTTTCTCCCATTCAATTATATTTTTTACTGCAAAAAGCAGGCAAATGTGAAGTACCAAACGTCAGCTAATAAATTACTTTTATAATAGTAATCTTTTTATATAAAATCCATTTGAAAGATGATAGTGGAGTATACGTAGGTACATAATTAACTTGCATAAAGTACACATATGGAAGTTTGGCGTTCTATATGAATTGTTGGTTAGATCCCCCGTACTATTAATCTCCGTCTTGTAGCATTCTGGCGTGTTTACCTTTGCCTCTTGCCCATCACCCTGTACCAGCTGGTCCATAGGGAAGAGGAGAAAGAGTCCTTCACCGCGACGCTGTCCCGCCTCCACCGTCTTGCCCTCCAAGTCTCCACAGATACATTCACGTAAGTCTTAAAGTTACTTCGAGTTGTGCTTATAAAAAGATATCTAGTATCTTAATTTGCTTTTATTTATATTCTGTATTGCCAGCAATGTTATCAGTCTCGTACCTACACGTTCTTCTCGACGCAGGTAAGTTAAGTCCGGTGGGAAAGGATCTTAATTTGCTTTTGCTTTAGTCTGTGACGCAATTATAAGAGTTAATATGCAAAGCCAATTTGATAGCCTAACCAAACATTGCCGATAGAAGTGTTCTGTTGGTGGCAAATTGTTATTTTTTAAGCTCTGAGGAGAATTTAGTCTTAGTAATTTCTTGTAGAATTTGACAGTTATATTTGTAATAGTGTGCCTTCAAAATACGATTTTCTTTAATTCCGGATTTGTTTTTAGCGGGGACTATGGTATACCTGTTTGATAGTCTCCCGATTGTGCTGAACTTTACCTAGTTTGGTCCCCCCTCTACTGTTAATGGGCTAGTGTATTGAAAAGTCGTATCTCGAGACCTTGTTTGTCATACCTGGTTGATACCTGGTTGATGGGGTTCTGGGAGTTCTTCTACTCCCCAAGCCCGGCCCGAGGCCAGATTTGACTTGAGAGTTTGGTCCACTAGGCTGTTGCTTGGAGCGGCTCGCAGGCCCACATATCCTCCACAGCCCGGGTGGTCCGGCACTCCTTGGAGAAAATTATCTAGTTTTCTCTTGAAGATGTCCACGGTTGTTCCGGCAATATTTCTGATGCTTGCTGGGAGGACGTTGAACAACCGTAGACCTCTGATGTTTATACAGTGTTCTCTGATTGTGCCTATGGCACCCCTGTTCTTCACTGGTTCTATTCTGTATTTTCTTCCATATCGTTCACTGTAATATGTTGTTAGTTTACTGTGTAGATATGGGACCTGGCCCTCCAGTATCTTCCACGTGTATATTATTTGGTATCTCTCTCGTCTTCTTTCTAGTAAGTACATTTGGAGGGCTTTGAGACGATCCCAATAATTCAGGTGCTTTATTTTATCATACGATCAAACAATTGCTTTAAACATTTACTCAAAGACATACAAGTGAATGATATTTTATAGGACATAATTTGTTTATAAATAAAATAAGGCTTGTATCGAGGTAGGTGAACAGCCGCATCAGGTGAAAGGAACGCCCCCCCCCCCCCACCCGTTTCTGCCCTGCCTGGGGACTGAACCCGGGTCCCTCGGCTGCGAGCCGGGGACATAGACCACCATATACTACAGGATCCCTTTTTAAAATTGATTGGTGCAGGAAATATATATTAACACATTGGTTAAAAGCAGTGATATGAAGCCTACTTCATATCACTGAGTCTCACTCATTCATCAAAAGAACCTAGCCAGATTTTTTTTGAATTAATGGACAAAATGCTTAATGTGTGTGTGTGTGTGTGTACACGTATTCACCTATTTGTACTCGCCTATGTGTGACTGTGTGTGTAAGCTGTGTGTGTGTGAAGTAAGCTGTGTGTGTGTGTGTGTGTGTGGACGCTGGCAGGGATGAGTTACTTGACACGAACATGAGTTATATCTTGTTGAATACGTTATATCTTGTGTGTGAATTATTGTACAGTATATGTTGTGTACACGTGAGACACTGTCCCAGTCACTCGAGACTGTTGCGTTAGGTGGGTGGCGGCCGCAGTAATACCAGGCAGAGGCACTGTAATTGTATTTCAGGCGGTAAACTCGACCAATTTGTAGCTGTAGAAGGCGACTATAGCCATCATCCCCCCCACCCCCCACCCCAGGCAAATCATCCCCCCCCCACCCCCCACCCCAGGCAAATCATCCCCCCCACCCCCCACCCCAGGCAAATCATCCCCCCCACCCCAGGCAAATCATCCCCCCCACCCCAGGCAAATCATCCCCCCCCACCCCAGGCAAATCATCCCCCCCCCCACCCCCCACCCCAGGCAAATCATCCCCCCCCCACCCCCCACCCCAGGCAAATCATCCCCCCCCACCCCAGGCAAATCATCCCCCCCCACCCCCACCCCAGGCAAATCATCCCCCCCCCCACCCCCACCCCAGGCAAATCATCCCCCCCCACCCCCCACCCCAGGCAAATCATCCCCCCCCCACCCCCCACCCCAGGCAAATCATCCCCCAAAAGTGAGTTAGGGTTCCGCCAGTTGTGCGTGTGCCTGGGGAGTCAAGCCTCACCTTCCATTGTATTGCCTTTATTCAGTGACAGTCAGGTCAGCTCTGGGTGACCTTAGGTGGACCCTCCCAGCAAACGTAACCGCAGATCTTCCACAACGTCTTGCGTGTGCTGTGTGTGTGTGGGCTTTAAGGTTGCTGCAATGTTAGCACGGCACGTTTCTGCTTTACCAACACACACAATCGTCTTACAATCTTGTAGAATACTGAAGTAAGCTTGTGTGTGTGTGTGTGTGTGTGTGTGTGTGTGTGTGTGTGTGTGTACTCACCTAGTTGTGCTTGCGGGGGTTGAGCTCTGGCTCTTTGGTCCCGCCTCTCTGTCAATCAACAGGTGTACAGAAACCTGAGCCTATTGGGCTCTATCATATCTACACTTGAAACTGTGTATGGAGTCAGCCTCCACCACTGTGTGTGTGTGTGTGTTTGTGTGTGTGTGTGTGTGTGTGTGTGTGTGTGTGTACAGGGTAAATTAAATCCAGGCTTCGTTCCATCCCCCAGATCCCATTACTAGCTACAGTTTCCCCTTGTAATATATTAACTATTCTACGTTGAAAGTTCTTTTTCTCTCTCTCCCCTCTCTCCCGTGGACAACTTTAATATTCCAACTTCACAGAGCGCGTTTGCTTGCCTGAACGTTCCTGCGTCTGCTTCCCACTCTTCCCTCGCCTTTCATTAGGCGTTATTGGCTCTACGCGTTTTCTCGTGTGTCACCTTTGTAGTTCATTGTTTACATTAGTCTCTTGCTAAGTCATTGAGCTTCTCCTGCGCCAACCACGCCATTTTCTCGTCCTCCCACACCCCCCGATATTAAGGAAGCCGCCTTGCAGAAACTTTAATCTTTAACCTGAAGCTGTGTTCCTTCAAAAAAGGAAGTCAGCATGAAGATGCTGACTTCCTGGTCTGGTCAGCATCTTCATGCTGACCAGACCAGACCACACACTACAAGGTGAAGGGACGACGACGTTTCGGTCCGTCCTGGACCATTCTCGAGTCGATAGTGTGTGGTCTGGTCAACATTAGCCACGTTATTGCGACTCATCGCCTGCATCGGGCATCAAATTAGTGGAAACTTGTAATATTAACTGTTACCTCCTGGAAACGCATATTTAGCCTTTAAACCGTGTCTACGTCGTCTCCAGACTTCCTTTCTCCTCCTCGTGGTCTTGTGTTGATCTTACCCTCCCGAGGACCTTGGATGATGGGCTCTTAACCTCTTGAGACCCCAAGATCTTATCTGCCAGAGTTGCCAAGTCAACATTTCTGTGGTTTAATATGTTCCCGGAGCTCGCACTGGGATTTCAATCTCTTCTCTCACACCGTTCTGTGGTCCCAGGCGGGGTGCTGATGGGGGCCTTGGAGGCTTCTTGAAGCACCGCTCAGGCGGGGGGCTGATGGAGCCTTGGAGGCTCCTTGGAGCACCTCTCAGGAAAACCACGTCTTCGGAGATCGCGATTACTCCCCTGGTGAACCTTCAACCAGGACACCAACTTCTCTGCCGATAATAGTCCTATTCATCACAATCGATTCGTAGTGATGAACATATTCATCACTACACACAGAAATCACAATAGCGTGATGCATCAAATGAACAAATTCACAAGAGGGGGTCAGTAGAACTTCCGGTTGCAATTCTTTTAACCCTGTCGTAGCTCAGTCGATTAATGCAGCGTCTGGGATCCTCTCGGACGTAGGTTCGAACCCTCGTCACGGCCCCTTGTGGATTTTATTCGTTACTATATTGTGATGAATAGTCCTATTCATCACAATCTTCTTCACCGATAATAGTCCGCCTCATTAAAATTTGTTACAATTTATGAGGCAGACTTGATCTCGTTTCATGCAAGTTGGAGTTCAATTCCCTACCGTCCATTTGGTTGGACCACCATTCCTTCCCCCGTCCCATCCCAAATCCTTATCCTGACCCCTTCCAAGTGCTATATAGTCGTAATGGCTTGGCGCTTTCCTCTGATCACTCCCTCCATTTACAAAATTCTTTGACATGTGCAGACTTGCCACCCTTCCCCCCCCCCCCCCCATCCTAGTTACTGATACTGTACAAGTTTGTGTCTAGTTCCCTGTGAGTGGGGGCGCCACCACTCACACACTCACCACTATCTTACTCTCGCTTCACCCACATTGCTTCTAATGTGCAATCATGATGTCCACCTAGTCTGTTCCTACCTAGCCTGTACGCTCCCTAGCCTGTGTGCATCTAGTCTGTATGCTCCCTAGCCTGTACGTACCTAGCCTGCATGCACCTAGCCTGCATGCACCTAGCCTGCATGCACCTAGCCTGCATGCACCTAGCCTGCATGCACCTAGCCTGCATGCATCTAGCCTGCATGCACCTAGCCTGTATGCACCTAGCTTGTATGCACCTAGCCTGTATGTACCCAGCCTGTACGTACCCAGTCTGTATGCACCTAGCCTGCATGCACCTAGCCTGCATGCACCTAGCCTGTATGCACCTAGCCTGTATGCACCTAGCCTGTATGCACCTAGCCTGTATGCACCTAGCCTGTATGCACCCAGCCTGTATGCACCCAGCCTGTACGCACCCAGCCTGCATGCATCTAGCCTGTACAATAAGATCATTGGGGCGCTTGTTGGGTGAGGCAGGACGGTGGGCTTCGATCCCCTCGTCGTGCACTAACGATTTTCTGCTTAGATACACCGCGTTATCGTGACGTCCTTGTGTGGGCAGGAGGGACTGGATGGGTGGGGGGGGGGGGGGCGATAAGTTTTCACCCACCGCACACTTTCCATATTATTTTTACCTTGGTTTTTGAACTTGGTTATTGATCCGTGGGGGGGAGGAGAGAGGGA